TCTCTAAAAGACTCTTTAAGGTAAATGACCTACGGGTTGAGTATTTTACGAGTATATATACAGTATGTATCATCGGGTGGATGAGGGACATCTATATGTATATATCACCCTATTTTTGGGTCTCGTGTCTGAAACATTAGTTATTCTTCATATAGCCTGCTTGTCACTAGTACTTCTATGGAGTACTGACCCCTCCGGGGGCCCTCACATTTTTCAGGTTGAGGCTAGAGTCCTACTACCTGCACCTTTGCCTAGGGTGACTGATCGAGAAGGAAGACGTGGTTCGTGCTTCCATTCTTATTTCAAATGTATAAACCGCTCATGGATTTTTGAACAATATTTTCATTAAAACAGTTGGGGGCCTGCGTGCCCGTGTTTGCCACGTGTGGCTAAGTATCAAACATTTTATTATTTTCCGCATTTGATTGATTATGATATTGATGTTGATTGTATGTGTTTACTAATCGGTTTGGCAATAGAATAAATCGGACGCCTTGTACAACTCAATAGGGATGAACTGTTGTTGTTCTTATCGGGTTGTACGGCGGTTGTCTACGTGGCTCGGATGCGGTCTGGGGCGTGACAATGTGCGCCATCCACTTTGCTCTTTCCAAAGCCATACTCTCATCCAACCCTAGAAGATGCATATCAGTTCTGATTACTCTAATCCAAGTCTGTTTGGGTCTTCCCCTCCCTCTCTTCTCTGACTCTTCTCCCCACCCCTCAAGTCGTCTAACAGGTGCATCACTCGGTCTTCTATGCACATGCCCAAACCACCGCAAACGAGATTACCCTGCGACAGTGTGTTGACCCGTTGGATATGGGCGGGCACTTAGCGGGGCAAGATTCTGGGGTTTGATTGAGATTGGTTTAAGGGCGCAACGAGGACGTTGCGATCCTAAGTGGGGGTGATTGTAATACCCGATATTAATTTAAGAGGATTAATAGTACTACTCATACCAACAGAGGTGCATCTCCTTTTAAGGGAGCTCATCACCCAAGAACTCCAAAGTTAAGCGTGCTTGCACGAGAGTAGTCTTGGGATGGGTGACCCCCTGGGAAGTTTCTTAGGGCGCGCATGAGTGAGGGCAGTACTAGAGGTCTAGAGTAACTACCTCGGGGCCTACGGGGCCGGGGTGTTACAGCTACTCCCACCTTTTGTCTGATTACCTCATTCCTCAAGCGGTCTTTTCTGGTATGTCCACACATCCAAGGCAACATACGCATCTCTGTCACACTCATCTTTTGAATGTGGCATTGCTTCACCGCCCAACACTCATCTTTTGAATGTGGCAATCGCACAAGGCCCAATAAAAATAAAGGCCCAAAATAATTAGTAATATGGAGTATTATGTAGGGCTGGCAATATCACCCGCACCCGCGGATACCTGATCACCCCAAATCGAAAATATGGACGAGAACCTGAAAATTTATGGATGAAAAATGGATGACGGGTGGATTGAAAGACGGGTTGGATCGGGTGTGGATGCACACTCATCCAACCCATCACCCGACCCATCATCCGCTCCATCCACCCACCTGCTAACCCGCATATAAATGTATATATAATAATTAATATTAACATATTAATATATATGTATTTGTTAATGGAAAAGACACATATCTATGAATTGATTAAATAAAGACAATTGAAGAGTTTCAAGAAATGACATTTGAAGTACAAATATAGCTTTGTGCCGATGAAAAAATGTAGAATTTGAAAGCTTGAAGAAGTTTTATGTCTATTTTGTTTGACATTCGGTTCTTTCTTTATTGGCTGTGAATTAGTGATTGTAATATACTTAATTGTTCAAGTTTTTTTTGTTATTATTCAATGACTCTTAATTTTTGGTTTTTAATTGTCATGGTTTATCTTTATGATAATTTATTTACTTTGTCTTTCAAGTTAGACCATATATATTCACCCGTTACTCATCCGGTCCACCTGATAACCCGTTCATGATGAATGAGTTGGATATGGATGTAATTTTTAATGGATGATGGATGGGTGGGTGGATTATGAAAAATTAACGGGTGGACGTGGATGAGCCTTCACCGAATATAAATCAAACCCGCTGCCACCCCCTAGTATTATGTAGTATACATAGCTCAAGGTAATTTTGCCAACAAAAGGGACATCGACCGGCACACTTAGGTGATTAGATGTTCTTTCTGTAATTGATTTAACAAATTTATATTATTGGACTATTAGGTTGTTAAATTTATAATTGTTTCACTATTATACTTTTACAAGTAAATAATTTTGTTTTTTGATTTGTAATTATTAGTTGCTATGTAGTAACTTGTTTTTTACATAATTTTTTAATAGTTAATTACTATTTTCATTTGATCATCTTGATATATAGTGGTTGTAATTTATTAGAAGAAAAAAGACCTAATATTTTTTCTTGCACGAGACCTCCGTTTTCTAGAACCAGCCCTGCAATTGAGGGATGCAACATATGTTGATCGAGCTTGAAGGAGAGAGAAGCAGCGCCTAGGAGAAGCTAAATGGACGGGGCGGTCCAATTATTTATTGTCACTTTTTTCCCTAATGAAAACTGGTCATATTTTTATCTACTAAGGGCATCTCCAACGGGGAGGTGGATTGCCAAAAAAAAACATCCACCTCACCCAATGGACCCCTTGTGAGCAAATGCACTTTCCAATACAAAAAGAAATGGATGAGGTCCATCTTATATGTCAATGCACAAGGTCAAGTAGTAGAAGGTCTAGTTTGAGACCTTGGGTCTCACCTCCATCTCCCTGTCAAGTTGATTTTTTAATCATGATTCTTATTTTGCATATTATTTCACTTTAGCATTGGAGTAGAGTATTAATGGACCCTCTCCATTTGTTGTACACTTTGGGTATGTTTGGCAAGTGACTTATCAACCAACTTTTAGCTTGTTTAACCAAATTTAGTTGTTTCATTAGTCAAAGCAGCCAATATTTATGTTTGTTAAATAACTTTTTAGATTGACTTGTTGAGTCCGAAAAGCTGAAAAATGGATGGTAGGAAAAGCCAAGGGAGGCAACATTTCTTTTCTTTTGATTCGACTGCTTCAGTTTTTTCCCACCAGGGGTATACGTAACTAATTGTATTGCTTACTCGAAAAACAAATTGTTTTTCTGTTATCACTTTTTTCTTTCATTCTTTTGGCATGGGTTAGCCTTTTCTAAATTAATTAATGATTAAAGTAATACTCCGTATATACTAGTAATTATTCCGTAATTGTTTTAAATAAAATTCGTTTAACCAAATATTATTTGAAAAAATAATACGTAGTATATGCTTAACTACCATTTTATATTATTAGTTATGCCTTCTATCTTGTATTAAAATAAAATTTATTCAACAAATTTTAAAAATTACGGATATATAAATGATTTGAATAATTGAAGTAAGAGTAGTTATAAAATTTTCATTATTAACAATGATAAAATACTTATTATATTAAGTATTATCATGTCTTTATATGTCTTTTGACACACTCTATCAGCCATTTGAAATAGCCAATTTTACCAAACAATTATTTATAGTCAGCTAACATAACTTGTCGGTTAAAACAGCTAACACAATCAGCTTTTAGGAAACAACTAACACAACCAGTTGACATCAACAACTAACAACCATTTGCCAAACAAAGCCTTTAATACACCCTCTCCATTTGTTGTACACATAAGCACCAATCCACCCTATGCATCGGAGATGCTCTAAAATTCTATGGGTATGTTTGGTTTGAGGTTATTTCACATTGAGGTCGGAATGTGATGTGTGGAATGTTAGATACCCATGTTTAGTTCATGGTTTTGAGAAAAGATCGGGAAAGTTACATTCCCGGGAATGTAATATGGAGGGGAATGTTATACCCTTCCATTCCTTAGGTTATCTGACATTCCCGGGGATGATCTAATTTTCTTCCGAAAATACCCTCAATTAATTATCGCTTTTCATTCAATTTCTCTATGTATTCAACTTTTATCAAATTTGAATTTTTGTGATTTTATAAAACTTTTAATGTAGTTTATAAATGTGTAACTTTTATTTACTAAAAATATTTTTATTATTGACATAGTTCAACTAATTTTAGGGGGTTTTCTTTAAATATTACTCGTACTAAAATATAAGTTATGGATAAAAATATAACTACATTTAATATGCATAGTCAATATGATGTAAAGTTGAACACTATCATGGTCAATAAAGTTACTATTATAGTCACTAAGTCATATTTGTGTCTATTACCTTCGTTTCAGTTATATATTTGTCATTATTTCTTAATTTTATAGTTAGTCGAATATCTAGATTGTGTGACAACCTTTTAAGTGGGACGAATGAAGTATGTTTATTTAATTATATTCGAATGTCTATTCTTGTTATTTTCATAATTCTTTTTTCCTTAACATTTAAATTTTTTAAGGTATTAGATTATTTAAGTTTTTAATGAGTGGATTTCAAAATTTAATGGCAAAATTGATCATTTTTTCTTTAATGTGAAAACAAGTTTTACCAATAACTTGAACAGTTTTTAAAAATAATTTTTTGAAGTGATAATAAACATATTTAGATTGCTATTTGAACAGAGTTTTTTTCATTTTTGCATTGGATCTACAACCTCTTACGATTAAACCAATTTAAAAATAATTCAATTAGATTTCATTTTTATTAATTATTAAGATATTTCATTTTTTGTTTAATTTTTAATTACTTCAGACGTAGGTTGTAATAGATTTATTGTGTTAAGAGAAAATATTTAAAAAACATTGAGATAATCCACCATATCTGTAATATAAGATATGTTTTAACTAAATAAATTAATGTCACATTCTCTTAACCTTAACCAAATACAAATGGGAATAAAGTGAATATATTCTCATCAATTTAACATATCTAGCAATCTAAGATTCCCGTGGTAATAAGACATTCTTAACCAAACGCACCTTATGAGTAATATTTATGCTCTTATTTCTAAATAAATTTCGTAAAAACCACAATTGGGAAAGACTGCTGTAGCAGTTAAAAAGAAATTGAGGAGAAAACTCCACGTAATTAAGGTATTGCGATAATAAAACTACACCCCAATCAATCATAATCATAGCGGTGCTTCTCCACGGCCGCTCACCCAGAAATCACCGCCGTCCTACACAAACCCAGAGAGTTGTCACTTCGCTTTCTTCAAAGAATCACTATACTTTCCCTATTCGTGCCTTACCGTTTGTAATCGCTTCATTCCCCCTCCGTTAGATTTGTCTGCAAGATTTCTTCTTCTTCCAGAAGAGGGGGAGTGTGTTAGGGGTTTCTTGGAGAAAATACAAATACCCAGAGAGGACGATGACGGAGGTGATTCTCCACATCTATGATGTGACGAACAGTGCCTCCGACAAGACCAACAACACTATTCTTCAGATCAATAGGTTTTTCAAAGACGGCATTGGTCTTGGCGGCATCTTCCACAGCGCCGTCCAGGTCTGTATTTCCCCTTTAGATCTGGGGGTTTAGTATACTTGTAGTTTAAATTGGGGGAATGGTAGTTCCAATTGAGGAAAGAGATCCAGTGTTTCATTGTACTTGTACTTGAGATTTCAGAAATGGTAGTTTTTTTTGCGGACTTAGATCTAGTTTACATTGTGATTGTGGTTCAAATTGCGGAGTTAGATCTTGGGTTAAATCTCCTCCTCAAAAATATCACCACTTGCAGCTGCCATAATCATTTTGCATCTTTTCACTGTGCCGATAATAGGTTTACGGAGACGATGAATGGTCGTTCGGGTTCTGTGAACAAGGTACTGGAGTATTTAGCTGCCCTGCTGGCAAGAACCCGATGTATTCTTACCGTGAAAGCATTGTTCTTGGAAAAACAAGCTGTTCAATTTCCAAAGTGAATCAGATACTACGAGAACTTAGTAGAGAATGGCCGGGCTTTGTGTATGATTTACTGTCAAAGAACTGCAATCACTTCTGTGATGAGTTTTGTGAAAGACTTGGTTCCCCTAAGCTTCCTGGTAATTTTTCTTCCCACACCCCCCATTTTCAAAAAATAAAAGATGTTTTCAATGAACATGTGATGATGAATTAACATGAACAAAAGTGACTAGAATAGATGATTGGAGTATGATAGGGACCTGGACAGCCAATAATAATAAAAACAATAGAATTTTAAGAATTAGTTAAATTTTAATATTGTACAATAAGAGGGTTCTAGGCCCCGTAGCTAAGTTTTTGTGGGTCGGTTATTAAGGAGTAGTATAAATAGAAGAGGAGTGAAGAATAAGAGGTAGGCAGAATTTTAGTTGGAAGTCGGCTGGGATAGTGAGGCCTCTCGAAGAGTCTCAAATGTTAGAGAACTCCAGAAATCTGATGGTACTTTGTTTATTAGGAAAAACTTGCAGAAACTGAAAATGAACAATACAGTTGAGGCACTTCGAGCAGCCTCTCTCTCTTAATTCCCAGCCCAATCCCAAAATTCTGCCTACCTCTTATTCTTCACTCCTCTTCAATTTAGATTTTATACTACTTCTTAATAACCGACCCTAAAAACTTAGCTATTGGGCCTATAACCCTCTTATTGTACTATAACCCTCTTATTGTACAATATTAAACTAATTCTTATTATTCTATTATTCTTATTATTATTGGCTGTTCAAGTCGCTATCTGAGTACAATTTCATAAGCACCCTAAGTAAATGAGAATTCAAAAATGTGCTGTCACGGCTTTTCCTAACATCAATCCAATTGGATTAAGGCTTGCTTCAATGGTTCTTTGTAGTATGAATAGTGTCTGGTAAGTTATGCTGTAAGAAATACTCCCATTTAGCCGTCTAGTTTGAAAGAGATGTGAATATGGACATGGCTCATACATTCCATAATCAGTTCGGGTACTTCGTGGAATGGAGGTTATCAGGCTATGTAGGGGAAAACTTGAGTCTCAGGCTGACCATACCTTTTATTCCTTGTGACTCTATCTTCAGATGAGTAGTCACTTTTGCCATATTACTTATTAGTAATGATGTCTGGACTCTATTAATATTTTTCTTACCCTTTCCCTTGCACCTTCTGTCTCTTAGTCTCTATTTATACAAGTATTTCTACATCTACCCTCCCACCCCCAAGTAAAAGAGTCATGTTTGAAAAACCTTTTTTGTCCCAAAAAGAGTCCAGTTATAAAAGCCAACTTTCATTTTTATGTGAAATTCTTGTAAAGCCAACCATCAAGTGCGTTTATGGCTTTACGCGGTTACACCATTACTCGAGTCCAACCAATCTTGAAAATAAGGATTTGGGGCACAAGTGTCAACTCACAACTTATAAAAGTTTCTACATGTTGGCTAAAACATAATAAGTTGTACCTTACTCATACACGACTCTTATTTTTGGAGTAAAATGTCATGCCATTTGTTTTCAGTATTGATTAGTCTGAATTTGCACTTCTGCAATTTGCATATAGATTCATCATGGCCATGATATTTTATGTGTCTATATTTTTATGTAGACCATGCTCTTATAGATTAAGTTGCAGGTTGGGTAAATAGGTTTGCTAATGCTGGTGATGCTGCTGTGGAAATGGCGGAAACCACAGCCATCAGGGTGAGTAATTATCTCTAAATTGGAATATTAGAAGTTTCAATTTTTACCATGTATGTTAGCTCATCACGTCATACAATGTTATAATGTCTGCCATGTGGTTTTTGAATGGATGATGCTCCCTCTGTCCTTTGAAAACATCCATCATTCCTTGATTGCCGGTCTAAATATAGACTACACTCTTTCATTTCTTTTTCATAAACACTTAGGGCCTGTTTACTAACAGATATATTTCTAAAATATATCTGTTTACTAACAGATATATTTTCCAGTTTTCAATTTCTGTTTTCTGTTCTCCTATTCTCTGTTCCCTATTGGTGGACAACTCAATGGCTCTTTTAAAATTCTTCACTTTAAAAATGGTTTCAAAAAACTGAGACTAAACCGCCGCCAGGTCATTGACCGGCCCAAGCAGGGACCGTCGGTTGGTTGACTAGATAAGATGGGGTCCGGACGAGTACCGCTTGGCCGTGGATCGGACTGGACAAGGGAAGTCGGGTCATCGATCCGACCGGACGGGGGCCGTCGGGTCATTCATTGGACCGTACAAGGACCACCGGGTCATCAATGGGACCGGACAGGGACCGTCGGATTGTGGAGCGGACTGGTCAGAGGCCGTAGGGTCGTGGACCGGATTGGACAGAGACCGCCTAGTTGTGGACCGGACCGGACAGCGGGACAAGGACCGCCGGTTCGTCGACCGGACTAGACCGAGATCGCTGGGTCGTCGAATGGACCAGATCAAAGTTGCTCGGCCGTTGACCGAACCAGACAAGGACCGCCAGGTCAATGACCGGACCAGACATGGACCGCTAGGTCATCGACCGGATTGGAGAATGATTGCTGGGTCGTGGAACGGACCGGATAGGGACAGCAGGGTCATCGACCAGAATAGACCAGGATCGTCGGGTAATCGACTGGACCGGACCGGGATTGCTCGGCCGTCAGCCGGACTGGACAGGGGCCGCCAGGTCAATGACATCGGAGCAGAACCGGATCCACCACTAGGCGTAAGTATGCGAATTCATTGCAGCGACACTGTAGCATCTGCGTTTTCCAAATTTGAAAAACTAGTAAAAGTCACTTCTCCAATTCATTAAGGAAAAGAGAGACGTATCTCATTTTTTTTGGTTTTGAAAAATGATTTGGTGGTAAACACAATTTTCTGTTTCCTTTCTCCAGTTTTCTAACAATTTTCTTTGGTAAACACGTTTTCTGTTTTCCTTTTTCCAGTTTTTTCCAGAAAATATCTCATTTTCTTTCACGTATTACATTTTACATTTTCTTTCACATCAACTTCCCATTTTTTTTATCTTATCCCGCCATCTACCACTTAAATGTAATGGCTCCGTGTGGCATCTTCTACTGGCTCATTCTGTGTAGTGCAGCAGAATGAAAAAAAATAGAAAAGCTGAATAAGTAGCTTTAATTGGCTTACTTGGCTGAAATCAGTCCTTAACCAATGCATTTTTCCTTTCCATAAAATTTGGCAGATCCAGCCGTTTTGTTGAATAATCCTCACCAAAGGGTCCAATGTTTTATACTTTCTCCCTTCTAGGTTTTCCACTTTTCTTAGTATGTGTGCCTAAACCTATGGAGGACTTCCCAAAGGGTATGAGTGTGGGATAAACATATGGAACATCCTTCTAGTGCATCATATTTGCCTGATATCTAATTTAATCTTCTATTGTAGCTGCGGCAAGCTAAAACTGAGATTGTTTCAGCAAGCAAAGTGGCTTACCGGTTCCTCGCCGGAGTTGCTTCTGGTAGTAATCCCTCTGATTCCCCTGGAAGTTCTAGCAGAGAAAGCCCTAGGTTCCAACCTACCTGGTTTAAAAGTCTTGTTTCCGTTGGAGCGAAACCATCAAGTACTTCTGACATAGAATGTGACGGTGTAGAAGTGACACACCAGCAGCAGGAAGCAACTCGAAGGCAAAATTCGCAGCATGAACCATGAGGGAATATCCAAAAGGATCTTCAACATTGTGTGCTTCACTCTCCAGACTTTGAAGGGTGCACCTCTGGCTTGTTGTTCTATTGACTTGTTTGATCAATGTATATTGATTACTTACTCTTCTATGTAGTTTACATTTTCTTTCTTTTTATGATGTGTCATTGTAATTCAATTGTAAGATTTATTTACACACCTTCTAGACGTATCTACTTGGTTTTCAATTAGAAGTAGCTCTCGAGTCTCGACCCCTTGTGAGAGTGTAAGCTGAATTTCCATGTGTACAAGGTTCAGAGATTTGCTGATACTCGCAACTTGTATTAATTTTTCTTCGACCATTGGAGTATTGCATCTTAAACCACTGTTGTTTAAAGTACTTAATATGAGTAGGCTTGGACCCGGTCTGGTTCTGTGCCCGGTACTGGCCAGTCCCGGTTCAACCAAAATGGAGCCCAGTACTGACCTGGGTTGGTACGGTCCAGGTTCTGGTCACGGGTACCCGGGCGGTCCTGGGTGGGGTGGGGTGGTTTTGGGTTACTTTTTTTAATTACCTAATTTATGCAAGAAATGTTAGACATTAAAAATGAAATGTAGATTTATTTGAAATATGAATTAAAATTGACATTTGAGAATAATTTGAAATATCAACTACATTTGCTATTCGTCGAAATTCCCACCAGAATTGGTTGTGGTTTCTTTCATTAAGTGGTGGTCACGACGATGCAAAGTTCTTGAGTATTTATAGTTTTTCTAATAATTTTTAAAAGTATGTTAAAGTGATATTTACCTATCAAACATATGCATCCATCAATATTATGGTGGACCGCAAACTCTAGTTTGATATGGCAAGTGGATGATTAAATGTTCACTTACATCAAAGAGTCCCGGTTTGTAAAACTTTTTTCATGTTTCAAAGAAGAAGAGGGATCATTTTCTCTAACTATCGAAGTAATTCAACATGTACAACACCAGTACATAGGATTTTCAAGAATTGACTCAATTCAGGAACTATCTGCCACACTGTACTTGGTAGCATCTCCTGAAATGCAATTGGTATAAGGCATTGCATGAGAGCATGACAATCATGACTTTTCATGTGTATTAAACTCAGACCATTAGAATTAATGCATCTTCGAAAGTTGGATGTATATATTCGTCAGGGAATCGAATAGAAGCTATCCAATTCAGAAGTTTTTTTTTTTGCGCCGTGGAAACAATGTATACAACCTTGTCAAGCTTATCGGTGTAATCGGCTGCAACTCCTATCCCTCGACGATCACGGTACAACGCTACATCCTTCCTAACCTTCATATTATCTTTTGTCCTATCTTTGTCGTTCATTAGAGAATAAAATAAGTTGTCAAACACATTCTTCTCGATGTGCATAACATCTAAATTATGCCTAACTAATAAACTTCCCCAATACGGCAGTTGCTAGAAAATACTACTCTTTGTCCATTTGTGATCGACTCCATAACCTGGGCCCTGGGGGGTAATACATTAGGCTCCTGAACTGCTGTCGGTATCATACATACACGTTCAAGTTTTTGTTGGCCGGATAATCTGGGCGAGGGATAACTAATATCCCGTTTTTCCTTTTTAAAAGAATGATTGTCCCTTCGATACAGGTGTTTGTGGGGTAAGAACTTTCTATGAAAATCAAAGTCAGATGGCTTACGTCCATTCCTAAGATACGTTGCTTTGTTACCTTCCATACAAATAGGGCACCCCAAGAGTCCTGTTGTACTCCAACCAGACAACATTCCATATGCGAAAAAAATCATTTGTCATCAACATTAGAATGTCACGCATTGAGAACATGAAATTTGAACCATCTCCTCACAAATGCTGCAATTCATCAACAAAAGGTTGTAAGTATATATCATTTTTTTTGGACATATCGGCCTCGGAATAATGAGCAACAAAAACATGTAGGGATATTTCATGCACACACCGGGAGGCAGATTGTACATCATTAGTATGACGGGCCAACAAGAGTACGATGCACCTTATTGTCCATGTGCGGCGAAACCATCAAAGTATAAGCTAAGTCGTACACTTCGAGGCTCCGCAGCGAAGTCCGGATACATCATATCAATGTGTTTCCATGCATCACTATCACTAGGATGACCCATCAATGTCACAGTTGCTTCGTGCATTGCATATATGCCACATCATCTCTCCAGCTTTTTATCGTGACACATACAGTGGAGGACCTAAGGGGGGGCTAGGGGGCACGTGCCCTCGCTTCAGGCTCAGAAATTCACTAGTAGCACTTAAGGTAAAAACCGGCGTCCCGCTTTGGGCCCAGAGTTTTTATTATAGATTAAGTTTAGTGTCTAGTGTGCCCCTCTCTCACAAATCTCTGGATCCGCCACTGGACACATATAACCTCTGTAGTCTTGGCGTCAAGGGAAAATATCTCAATACAGAAACAACCGTCCGATTTTCATCTTTTGGTTTTGCATTGTTCGTCCTCCTGCAACTTATACCGATGCTCACCACAAAGTGAACAATGTGTTAACTCTTTATTACCCTTCCAAAATAGCATACACCCGCTACGATAAGCAACATTATTGATCACTGAAAGACCAAGTTGGAATTAAGTTTTTGGTCTCATAGTAATTCCTTGGGGCGGTGTGGCCATGAGGTAAATATCGTCCAATAATCCCAACCATCGATTTACTTCACCCCGAGGTACATTAAAGTCGGATTTTATACTCATTACCTTAGGGACAAATTGTAATTGTGACCCTTTTAAACACCGCTCATATAAAGGTTGATCTCCTGCTTGTAGAGCATTTTAAAATTGATCTGTCAAATAAGACACATCGTTTACATTTGTAGAATAATTATTATAACCCTCACCTATGGTTTGTGGAATACATTTTGTGGTGTCCACCGGTGGCACGTATCTCGCAAAAATATCTCCAAGTATTCTTTGATCCCAAGGTGTTTCTGGTAGACTTCCCGAAGCTGAAGAAATGTGGGCAACCTGACTTTCATCTCCTTGAGAGGAAGAAACTTGGTTCTTCAGTGATGGTGGTGCTTGAAATTGTAGTAATTCACCATGAGATTGTCCAAATATAATAATTTGCAACAAATCCATGCCGATAAAGATGAAGTTTGACGGTTTCCGTGTCATAGAAACATCAATTTTTACATTTTAAACATGGACAACGAATGTTTTCTTCAATCATAAATTCATGTTGAATTCTAGCAAATTCAACAAAACTCTTTACACAACTAATAAATATATCAGAATCTTTCTTTGTGAATGGATCGTATCTTTCATACATCCAGCTTTTGAGATGTTTTTCTCTAACATCGATTGTATGCATTTTATATATAGAAAACTTGGAGAAGAAGCTGAAAACGACATAATGGAGTTGGAAAATTGAAGACCAACCAGGCTGCGACGGAAAGGAAATGATATTCCGACGGTAATTGAATCTCAACTTTGCGACGGATTATTAGCGACCGAACCGTCACAAAACCGTCGTTATTTCCGTCGCTTATTTGACCATTTTTCCGTCACTGATTGAACGTATTTTTGCAATGATATTTGAATTACCAACATGATTTAAATATTGCTCCCAATAACCCTTTTAAAGTTCAAAAATTCTTTTTGTACACCTTCTTATACACATCAGTACACCCCCTTGTCTGTGAGAGTTTACTTCTGTCTGTGAATCACAATCCACAGACAAAAACTAGCTTGTTTTGTTTGTGAAAAATTGTACAGACAAAACAAGTCAGTTTGTCTGTGGACTGGGATTCACATATAAAAAAACTCTCACAGACACGGGAGTGTACTGATGTGTATAAGAAGGTGTATACCAAAATTGTTGTTTAAAGTTTTTATTTTGACTTTTGGAGTCAAAGTTCGTTACCACATGAAGATACCTTTGAGTTTTTTTTGTAGTACTTGAAAATTTACATTTTAATCCTGTGAATATAATACCAATCACACATTAATTAGGTTCATATCTTTAATAGGTTTTGCCGGCCAGTAGTTGGTTAATAAGTACTATCGTACATTACTTTACAACTTCTAATTCTTTTGAGTAAATTTCCTCCATTTCTCAAGCCTTTTTGGTCTAAACTAGCGATCACGAGAAGACAGTGGATGACGGTGATGTTTGGAAATCTATTCTAATATAAAAGCAAATAAGGAATACGGTTTCCGCTCAGAAATGTCACCATCAAGTGATTCATCAATTGTTTTTTACAAAATAAAATAAAATTACATTTCAGTTCTTCACATGCAGCTAGCGTGTGAAGTTAGTAATGGGTGACACTGTTTCAATTTCAAATCTAAGGAGAACAATGTTGCCTCCAAGTGTTGAGTCTGTTTTAATTGGAAGTGCGCACAGTGATGTAGATGGGATGCCCATGCTGTTTACTCCTATAAAAGCAGGACTAATGCATTGCAATTCTCACATTCATTCGCATCTAAAAGCAGAAATAAGAGTGAAACCAAAAGCTGTCGGCAATAAGGGATAAAATTAAGAACTGTTTTAATAACCAAAATGATAGCATAATGGGTTTAACCGCTAGATCTATTAATGGTAAATTGATTTCTAAAAAAATTTACGATCTTTTGAGAGTAAAAGGGACGGTGAGAGTGTGGATGAGCTTCATTTGGAAATCTTATATCCCTCCTAAATTCTCTTTCATGACTTGGCTTGCGTTTAGAAATCGGTTACCTACCCAGGATAACCTTGACTATATGTATATAGTCAATAGGTGTGATCTTTGTAAAAGGGACTTGGAGACAATGCCACACCTCTTTTTTGCTTGCCCTTTCTCTTGCAGGGTATGGAAAAGAATTAGGGAGTGGATGAAATTGGAGCACCAAATGACCACGCTACAAAGCTCAGTCAAATGGTTACTCAAGAACTACAAAGGGTCAAACTTGAGGGCTAAGGCGGTGCGGCTTGCGTTTTGTGCCGCGGCATATTACATATGGCATGCGAGAAATGCGAGTAGATTTGATGGGATCATAAAGACTGAAGACGAGGTCATTGCGAAGATAAAGCATGTGGTGTACAAGATCCTTTTCTCTATATACCTTCATGACATGATCCAATTTTGATGGGAGACCGGCTGACCGCATCAAAGCCGTGGCATCAACCGCTTTGTGAGTAGTGTGTGCACCTTGCAACACTACGATTTCTTCTTTTGGGCTGAGGGGAGTGTACATTAGAACCTCCTATTAGTTGTGCTTTTCCTATTCGGATGGATGTTTTTAATGTTCTGTGTGCATGCATCCTGCAGCACCGATTGTATTTTGATTAGATCGAATAAAAACCTCTCCTAAC